TGATTCGTTAGAAAATGTATGATTAAATATGAATATTATTTGAAAATCGATTGTGTATCTTTATTTTAATCTGAATTATGCTATTATCTCCCTTAAACGATTCGGCATTGAACATTATTCCTTTTGAGTTGGCGGAGAAGATTTGTAGCTCAGGTGGATGATTTTGAAGGAGTTTTGTTCTCTGAGCTGGATGGTTTGATCGTGGAGTTTACATCGTTCTTCTGAACGACTTCCTCAGCACAAACTTCAGGCAGAAGTGAAGTGCTCGAATTTCTCCATATATGACTCACAGCTTCTCCTGTAGACCTTGATCTTGATTTTTTTATTTTTGACTTTTTTTCGCAGAATGACTTATGTCATTTTAGAAAATTCAGTTTTGAGAGACTTCTTTCCTCAAATTTTTGGTTGACTTCTTTAATGAGAAATGAGTGTTAAGTAATGCTTGTTCTAACGCGGATATCTTATACTTTTATCTTCAGTCGTAGATAGGAATTTTCCAGTTCACATTTCTTTCAATTTTAACAATAATTTCTCATAAAATCATACGTACATATATAACATTGCATCACTAGAAATTATACAGAAAACAGTACCTAAGCGGTATCAAACGAATTAAGATATTTTTCTTCAACTACGGAGATATTAAAAACTTCTTCAAAACGTCACTGAACTAACTCAATCAGTGCTTGATTTGCCTTACTAAACGACTTCGACAACAATTGTCCTTCAACTGTAATATTCTTTTAAAAACTATTATCATATTTCATTATGCTTTTGAATAATCAGAAATAGATAAAATTGCCAATTAACAAGTGAACCATTTACTTTAATAACATTTTATGTGTTTCTTTTGACAATTTTATAGCTTAAAATTTACATGGTAAGTACACGAATATTTTTCAGTGAAGACTTTAAGTCACTTGAAGTTAATCTTGTTTTTAATGAGTGCTTAATGTGAGATCTTGTATTATTTTCTCTCAGTTTACTTCTTTTATTATTTCAGACGTGGTTGTGAAAGAAAATGCATTTGGTGTCTATATATATTTGACACAAATGAAAAGTAGTTTTCTATGCTTTGAATTTGTAAGACATTCTAAATCGTTAGAAATATCATGTAAATACTAACTGTACTATATTTCCCTAGAGATTTCGAAATGCTTTTAATTGGTTCTTTTCTACTGATCAACGTTCACCAATTTAAATATTTACGAAACTATACTTACATAACACGTCTGTGAAGCAAAAACTTTAAAACAGCCTGTAGATTTGTGTTGGAAAGATTGATTTTTTCACGAAAGTTTCTCAAGAAATAACGTTTATCATAAAGGTTAGCATTTTGGAAAAACACAGACACCATATGATATTTCGTTTTAATAGTGAGCTCTAAAAGTAAATTTTGAGAATTCGTCACATAATACCATAATGTTTCAAGGCTGAACGATATGAGAATGTGATCATCATGTAATAGAATTAGTTTACTCAAATATGCAGGTGGCAAACAGTAAGCTGACAATATTAAACATCAAAGTTGTAATACAGTATATAAGAGAAATAATTTAATTTCGCCAATCAGTTTCATTTATTTTTGTCACATTTAGCCATTTCTTTCAAATAACCCAGACTACTGATACCATATTCAGTTTCTATCACTGATAGAAGCAAATACGATTAGTACGTAGATAGATTATTCTATTTTTTTGTTTTTTTCATTACAAATTTGATCTGAACTAAAATTCACAATGATTTACCTAATACAACAAAGATAATTAAATACACTACGGAACTTGAGTTAAAGAAATTTGAGTAGGTATTGACATTTGAACATTCACATGCATGGAATTCGATGAATGATGTATACTATATGTTAATAAACAACTATTGTTTCCATGTTGTCACAAAATAATTTAGCCTCATTCTAACAATTTATAGTTTTAGAACTGAACAATATGATTAACTTGCATTTTCTGGAAAAAGGGTTTCGAATATTATTGATTATCTTATTGTTATCATGATTATTTTGTTAACAATCATTTAGCTAAAATAAATATAACACAGTTTTGATGACATCTGGTATTAACTCTACACTTGAAATCTTATTAAATAAATAGAAAAAGAAAGATGAGTAAAATCCATGATGGTTTCTCTATTAATTTTTGGAAATAATAAATACATAAAAAATATATTCGCTTATTAGTTAGTTTGCCTTTTTAATTTGTAAACTTAAACCTCAGTTGATTTGTATTTGTTTAATTATAGTGACCATTCTCTATGCTTAATCAGATCAAATCTACTGTTATTTTCACTACATGGTTGTGGAGATTGTTTAGTCTTAATCGAGATCATGAAGTTATCAATGTTAGACCATCATTGGAAACCTCGAAGCACTGTGAATCAACTAGTGTTAAACTACCATTGAAAACCTACTGTTCTTTTGTTAGCCATTGCTCATAGAAATGAGTAAATGTCTCTAGTAGGTGTACTCTAACTAAAGCCAGGTTACTAATGAATATAAATATACACAACACATTTCTGCCACTAAACAAAAAAGGTACTTTCTTCCACATTCTAATATTGTGAGTCCTGATATTTTAGAAACGTTTGTCCATTTAAACAACACTGCTACAGTTAATCAGTTATTCATAAGGACGGCCATGGTGAGACTCAGAGAAACAGAAGATTGAGAAGCAGAACTGGATTTAACTCAGGGATCGATTTATTAATGACACCGCCAGATTAAATACCTCTCACATCACCATCACATTACAAGGATTATAGGGGGTGTGGAGGAAGTTTTTAATGGAATTAACAACGCAAAATATGGACAGAACGTTTGGAGGTAACTTGCCATTTACAACTCATTTTCAATTCAACTTGTCTTTCTGGGGTAACACTATCACTATAAAGTGCTACCTAGAACATGTTGACTTAATTTTTTTCTTTCTAGACTGCTTCAAAAAGTTTTGATATATGTGAGATCTCACTTATTTCTGTATGTTGTACCATAGGTCACTATGGCTGCATACAATTTTACCTTGTTGAATCAACAGTGAGCTGGTTTTTCAAACAAGCTGAGATGCACTGTAACAGTATGTAATTAATCTTGTAGCTAAAGCTGATAGTTAAAACAGTGTTTCGGGATCTAACTAATGTTGTGCGCGATTTTCGAAACAAGCTTCTAACTCATATGCTCTCCATATTTCAATTATTCGGTAGTTTACCAATGCTGACTGAATACATGGCTTCAAAACTCTAAGTTTTCATTATCAAAAATGTCAATTAATTATTTTCTGTATCAGCAAATAAGTCTATCATCTCTTTCGGTATTTTAGAGCACAAAACAAATATATTCTGAATACATTTCTTCAAAAGCAAACCAGTAAATACAAACTATGAAAGATATTCAAATGATAAAGTTGCGTCATTTTATCTTGTTTATCACATAAATTATGCAACTATTGTATTAATTTGTTCAATAATTTGTTGTTGTGTATTCATCATACTACTGAATGGGTTGATGTAAACCCTCTAACATCTGAATGTGAGAAGTCCATTGTTGCTATTTAAATGAAAAAGTGATTTTCGTTGTCTATACATAGGAAAAGAATTCTAAACAATGTAAACAATTATTCAGCTTTTATAAACTGAAAATAATTTCTGTAAAATTTTTGCTTTAATTATAGGTTACTTTGTGCCTTCGGGTAAAAGAACTAGACATAAAATAAACTTCTACCTTGAATCTAACTGTTGAAGTATTCGTGCATTGTTCCAGTTTATTTCAATAAGTTTAGTCTAACTAAAGATACTATAAAACATGTTAGTAAAGAACAGTAAAATATATTCAGTTTCCTTCAGTATGAAACAACATATACAAATATTAAAAAAAGTTTTAATTTTGATTTATTTAGGATAATCGATAATTACTCATTCCTTTCCTAAGCGATGCTATCAACACAAGCTGCAATTACACGAAATCAATTAAATCGTTTTGTAGACTGAGTAGTTCGTCAAGCAGAGAACAACGAAAGAAATGTTAAACAGTATGTATTGTAGTTCTTTGTTTACACAATAAGAAGGCTTGGTATAACTCCGAAAATGGCATTTGTTTGGAGTTTATGGTCTTAGAGGTTGGCATTGTAGATGTCAGGCTCTTAACGGATATAAATAATTTCAAGATATACTAGGATCACCATATTTCCCTACAAAATTGATTTGTGTCTAAAATATCATTCGAAACTACTACTCATACGTGTAGTAGACATTTTCTGTTTATGTAAGTTATTGTCAACATAACTGGTGGGTCGCAAAGACAACTGTAATTTGTACAAATGACTGATTATTCTCATATGCATGGGTTATCTTATTCATTAAGTTTCAATAAACAGAAGTATTACTGATAGCTGAAGATAAGGGTGAAAAAAAGCCCCAGTTTCAACATTTCTGTTTATACGACTTTTAATATTTAGTTATGACCATAAAGATGACTTTTTATCAAGCAAATGAATCTATTTTTTTTCGTGATAAACGTTTGTCGCTATCATAATTATCCAAACTAATACTAAAGAATGCTAATGTAACGTAATAAGAGTAATCATGATCTCCAAAACATCTAAGCTCTTGATCCCGTCATTATGAAGAACTTTATATCCGGTAAAGAGAACGTTTAGTTTTAGCCTATTGTAAAAGGTATTTTTAAAAGTTAACATTATACAAAATTTTAGTCAAAAATCCTCAATTTCAAACAATACACATGAAGGACATTCGATTTACATATTTTTGATTATAGCAAACCATATTTTCATTTTGCTGTTTTATTCTGATCATGATTGATAATAGAATGTAGTAGACATTATATTGATAAATTGAAAAGCAAAACAAAAATAATAATAACAAATCTGTCAAATGGATCAATGTGGTTTATTTGATTGAACCAATAGAAACGTTACTGTTCTATGATTGGTTAAAATTGTGAGAAATAATCAACAGAGTTCACTAATTATACTGTAGATTATAATGTATTTGTAATATTTGGGATGTAAACAAATCTCTTAAAATCTATTTCTTTGTTTATACTTTCAATTGTTATTTTTAATGGTGGAACAAAGCAAATTACTTACCTGTAGTAGTACTGCTATTAATGTACACTAATGAATTGATTAAATTACGTTATTATCAACTGTTTAAAATCATTAAAAAATAAATGTCTACATAATAAAGATGAAGTCATCATTATTAGAAGCCCAGATTGTAGAAAAAACTAACTCCCATCACTATAATCATACATTACCAGGGTATAATGACTTCTGTTCCAACGTCCCTCAATTAACATCAAGTGGATATTTAGAAGCAATGATTCAATATGTTAAGTATTGTGTCGGTGGTAACCATAATGAAGAAATGTTGCAAATTTTAACTATAGAACTAACGGAGTTAAATTTTCATAACTTATTAAAATTGAATGAATTGATTATACTAATTTGTATATATACAACAATGATTCTTTTTGGATCATGTGGCTCTTTACTTGTGGTATATACAGTTATCAGAAAGCCTAAAATGCGTACACCACGTAATTTATTTATTGTAAATTTAGCAATAAGTGATTTAATTTTATGTTTATTTACGCAACCATTTAATTTGCTACGTATATTATATTGGCATTATGATTGGAAACTAGGTCAGATTATGTGTAAATCTGTTGCTATGGGACAGGCAGCTAATATATTTGTCTCTACAATCAGTATTATTGCTATTGCACTAGATCGTCTACAAGTAAGTTTTTCTGGAAAAATGTAACTTGTTAATTAAAAGAGTGAAAGTGTCATGTTTATTGTGTATTGCAATTTTCTTTCAGAAAGAACTAAATAAATGTAAGGACAGAAGAAATTATTCAAGTCTAGTCATTACGAAACAACTAGCCATCATAGTCCATGATGTTCATTTCATCTATGAATATATGGGAAAATTATGGAATATATAACCAGTATATTAATCCACCCTATAATATAGTGTTTAGCTGAAGAGTTAGTGTAGATGAATTGATTATATATTTCATTTGATTCTGTGGGTTAAGATTAACCGTAAAGGTCATAGAAACCACTTTCTGATTATTAGTCGTTAAACGTGTAACATTTTTTCCAAACATCATTCTAAAAGATGGTTAAGAATTCGATTAGATTTTTTAGCAAATAAATATCATTGGATTTTTTGAATGTATGATATACTTCACAGATTTTCTAAAAACACTTTTACCTTTAAAATAGTTCAGCATTCTTTATTCACTGTATGGTTTTATGTCAAAGTAGTTTCAGATTTGACGTAGACCTTTTCCACAACTATGTTTGTTAAGTTTTATGCAACATCTTTATTAATGTATGAATTTAATCAGAGTCAACATGTAACTAGGAGAATAATGAATCTTGTTATATAATAAATAATTTAGCTAAGATCATTTTTACTACTATAATTCATTAATTTAAATTACTACTAAGCTTAATTAATTAGATTGTCATTAATGATCCACTTGTTCACAATGTTTGTTTTAATTTATAAAAAAACGTTGACTTTTCATATTACTATGGATACTTTCAAAATAAATTACTGCAACAATTACAAAATTATTTAATACTTTAATTTTTAATTCTAGATAATCCAACAATAAATAATTATGTAATCATTCTATCAAAGAGTACATTTCTATGAAGTGTATTGTAAATGTCGAATAGTTCATTGTTAATGAATTAGATTGTATATTTTTGAACTTAACTTACCAAGCAGTTAGTTTATAATATCTTTTGTTTTTTAATAGTTGAGATCATAAATCAATTGAAGCTAGACCACCAGGAAAAACCTGGATCTCACAGCATACCTGTTTGAATTCCACTGGTTTTTCTTGGTCGTCTAACTTCAATTGATTTACGATCTCAACTATTGAAATCACTATAATATCCTCAAAACCCTTTCTAATATCTTTTATATATTTATAATTGTAAATTATCAATTTGACTTATCATTTATCATAACAGTTATATTGTTTAAGAATAATAGGTAATTAAATTTTAAATAAGTCACTTGGTTGCATTGAAAATATTGTAATTCATTAAATAATAAGATCTATATATTATACTGGATTATAAATTCACTTGGTATTATTTATTTAAATCTTCCCATTGATGTTTAGGAATGCAATTGATGAGCCTCTTATTGGCATATATGCATACTGTGCGTTTGCCTCGATATAACCTTTGCTTATAATGCTGGATTATGGTTTGGAATTTTATTTATTTATAATATAATCATATATACTATATAACTGAGTAGTAAAACACCACCTGGAAGAATGTTCAAATTTTTAGTATTTAAGAAAATATGAATTTCTTATTATAAATTGTTGTATGAAACAATAGAGTAATATAGATACAAGTTTAATTTTCAATAGTGTATTCATTATTAAACTTCTCATTTATCTTTAGTTATAATCTATCTAAATTTTAATAGAATTCATAAAGTATACATATGCTAAATATGTTTCCTGGTGTACTATATGAGTACGAGAAGATTAGTAGTTATAAGTTTAATTAATAATTAACTCTTCAATCCATTTCCAGTCATTATTTGGTTCATTATAACTTTTTATAGGTATCATTACCAAGTTTTGATTTGATGATTTTAAATAAATAGAGCATTGGGTGTATTGTTATAAATAAACAATCCAATTGTAATATCCCAATGAGTAGAAGAATTAAATTTTCCGACGTTTCGTGACTTAGTGTTAGCCATTTCTTCAGAGAATAAGTAACCAAGTATTTTGTTATCTATTCTGTGAAGAAGTGCCTTACACTAAGTCACGAAACATCGGAAAATCTAATTTTTCTACTCATTCGGATATTACAATTATATTCTTTATTCATTATAACTTTTATCTATTATCAGTTGTATACTCCTTTTTTTGTTGTTGAAATAATCGTCTTTTATAATTCATATACTAAAGTTGTTAAAAGTTGAATTTCGGAACTTATTTTTTTTTATATTTTCTTTACGAACTAATATTTGTTAAAGATAATGGTTTATAATACCTTTCAATTTCATGTTTAAATATTCAATGTATATTGACTAATTTGCTTTGAATAGATTAAAAATTGTTAATTAACAGGTCAAGGGGAAATCAATATTCCTGTTACAATTTTTATTTTCAGAAGAGGGTTTGGTGGAGATTTTAGTATTTTATATAGTTGAATTCATGAATCATAAGATTAGAATCCCGGACATATCTTGTGAGGCGGGATCGTGGATGCGCACTGCTAAGGATTTTCACAATAGGACGAAACGACCGTCCAGTGCTTTCAGGTTTTCCATGGTGGTTTAGCTTCAATTGACTAATGATTTTAATTATGTGAAAAATTTATTTGTATAACTGTTGAAATTTATTGATAGTACTGTAGTCAATAATGATAGATGTCGTAATCTATAGTAAATATAAGTCAGATTATGTTCACTATACTTGAATTCAATACATATCATTATTGATTATACAGGAATTATTATGTGTTGGAGATTTGTTATTAATTGTCGTTTTTGTTTGGTCTGTGAAAATATAAGATCTTTGTTTATCATGTTGGTTCCAGACTTTATCATTATGGATTTAAATAAGATACATTGTTGCATAACTATTTCATAATGTTAAGATGATACATAATTTATTCACGGAAGATAAAACTACATGTTTATTAAATGCAAACTTATACGAACACCTGAATAAGTGACTTTGGATTTACATTTCAACGTTCTCTTAAATGTGGAACGTAAGCAGAAAATTGGTCTTAGTTACTAATAATCGTAGCTAAACATTATTTTATGGGCCTTGTCATGAAATCGCAATTGAAATAGATAACGATAGTGAACATTGATGGAGACCAGTAAAAGGAATCTACTGAACAACAAGATCATGATAAATCTGACACTATTTTTAATACTAATATATTCCATAGTACATAACCATATTGACAAAGTGATTTTTAACACTATGAGAAATTCTCCAATAAACGCAAAACAGCAAATGACTTTGCTCTATTTGATAATTTTTCACTTTATTTTATCTAAGAGTTTCTGAATTATTTAATAAGTGAATTAGTGAACGATCATCTCTAATGAACATACTGATCTGAAACATATAGTACTGTTGATTTACCATTACAAGAATCTTTTTGCCCTAGTTCAATAAAATCATAAGTAATACCGGCTTTTATTAATAATGAAACAAAAAAACATTATGTAAACTATCGAGACATGTACATAAATAAGTTTTGAAATATATTTCTGTCTTGTAATATCCCAATGAGTAGAAAAAGTAGAATTTCTGACGTTTCGTGACCCAGTGTAAGCCACTTCTTCAGAGAATAAATAAAAAAAAAATAAAAAAATAATAAAAATCTAATTTTTCTACTCATTGGGATATTACAAATATATAATTTATTTATAACAATCTACCCAATGCTCAATTTATTCAAAATTATCAAATCAAGTCTTGGTAATGATACCTATATTTCTGTCTGTTTCCTGACCTACTGAATTTTCACATGTCACATCACTTCATTATGTAATTCAGGTAACTTTTAAAATTATAGAACAATAAGTTAAGGCTCAAGCAGTTATGTTTACTGTCAAATAAACAGAATAACAAGTTAACTTATCATTAGAAACCAGAGATTTTGATTTTACATGAGAAAAATTAAGTTTTGATTATCTCTATTGTTCTTGTTAGCTCGATGTTTTCTGAAGAGCACTAAATATTAAACAACAGCGGAAATTTCATTAGATTTTATTAGTTTCAATATTGTTAAAATATCACATAAAAAGGTTCAGTAAATGGTTTTTTTATTTAAAAAAAGTCACATTAAGTAGATGGTTGTAGGTAGATAACACTAAATACTATATTTCAGTCGCTGTTGTGTTTTTTTTGAAAAGCGTTCAGGTTGGCTTCATTTCCTTCAAATATTTTGTTTGTTTAAATTTCACTGACTTTTTTTATAAATGTCATGAACTTTTATTTCCGGTTATATTCTGTTTGAACTATTTTATTAGTGATTATTTACTTTAAAATAAATCATAGAATAAACTATATATAATCAGAATTAGGAATGTTTATATTTTTAAAATAATGTAGAATTATTATATAAGAACTTTCGTCTAAATTAGAGCGAATAGTTTCACAATTTTGAGCACCGACTTGATGTAAGACATTAAATAGGAATAATAAATATTTGTAAAATCTCAGCAAATGAATTTGATGTAAATCCAACGTTTCAAGAAATTATCTTTGAAAAAAAGCTTGAACCAGATTGCCAGGCGAAACGTTGGATTTACTTCAAATTCATTCACTGAGATATTACGAATTTATTATTCCTATTTAATGTAGAATTAAGTTCTATCTAGTGAAGTTTATACTTTAGTAATGATACTCTTTATATTCAGTGGTTTCTTATCACATTCTTTTTCCTTTCGAATATATTGAAACATAATTTCGAGAGCATCAATTAGTAGTAGGTTACCATATTGAACAATTACTGGGAATACCAAAATGTATAATTGAAAAATTTGATTATAAATACATTTATTTCTATACTTTTTAAAGGAAGTTTATTTACAACATAACAGATTTTCAATATAAACATTGAACGTTCAGTTGTTGAATCGTTACAAGTTTATTAATGATTATTCATTGGCTATTTCTCAATATTTGATGTTTCTAAGAAAGAGGTCACTATCAATTACAT